GGACACTGGTCACCAGTAATGAATCTTAAAGCAGAGTGGAGTCCTAGAGATTTCAGAGTAATTGCAGATGCAAATCTGTATATCACATCACCATAATCCAGGGTAGGTAATCATGTTGCTTCAAGAATATTTTTCTTTGTGTGAAAAATATTTTCTTTGTGTGAAACATACTTTGTTTCGATGAAAAACTTGAAGCCAAGTCTTTGCCTCAGTTTACACAAGAGCATGTTAATATGGTGTTTTCAAGTGCTTTTATTATTTGCCATATGCCAAAGTATTTATACTTACTAACTCAGCCAATCCCTACAGGGTTGTGATTTTAAAAGCATTAAAATCAATGTTGAAGGCTCTGGAAAACAGCATAAACCTAACGTTTTCTCAACATTTAAGACTAGTTTATGATTGTAAAAAGCTGATAGATAGCTAGTGTCTAGTTATGGAGTTGTGTCCAGATGTGCAAGACATGCGATAAGGTATGCAATATGTACAGGAAGGTGTCCATATGAGCAGATAATTAAAATAAACCTATAATTTATCATAAAAATAGATAGATGATTGGGGGCTTTAAAAGAATACTGTAGTTTATCCACTGCAGTACCAGTATAGTCAGCCAAGAAGTACAAGATGGTGTAATCAGCATATAAGTGTATCTTGCAATCAACAATTGAGGTAGCAGTGTCATTGATATAAATATTAAATGGTACTGGTCTGAGGGTCGAGCCTTGAGGGACCCCCTGAGTTACTGGCAGTAGCTCTGATTTACTTTGTCCCACAGCCACACATTTCTGTTTATCGGACAGATAATTTCTAGTCTAATTTCTATCTCCGATTCTAACGTTTTCATAACGGGCATACTTGTTTATCACCACCAGGAAAGTTTTGCTAAAATGGTTTAAATCTATTAGTGTTGACATATTGAGGTCATGCTAGGTCATGTTGGTACTGTAATTAGTTCCATTAGTGATATATTTCTGGACACATCCTTCATATGATGAGATGCATTAGTTAATCAGTTCAGATTTAAATCACCTAGGATCAGCATTTCTGGATTTAAAAGTTAAGCTAAATAATTTACAGTATGAGCAGGTGTGGAAGGAGGTCTACAGATCCCAGATTTGGGGTCTGTAAGACAGTTTGGGGGCAGAGGAGATTTGTGAAAGAATGGGTCGCTCTTAGGAGCTCAGTGAATTCCAGCGTGGTACTGTGATAGGATGCCATCTGTGCAACAAGTCCAGTCATGAAATTTCCTTGCTACTAAATATTCCACAGTCAACTGTCAGTGGTATTATAACAAAGTGAAGGCGATTGGGAACGACAGCAACTCAGCGATGAAGTGGTAGGCCACGTATGCTGAGGCGCATAGTGCGCAGAGGTTGCCAACTTTCTGCAGAGTCAATCACCACAGACCTCCAAACTTCATGTGGCCTTCAGATTAGCTCAAGAACAGCATAGAGAACTTCAAGGAATGAGTTTCCAAGGCCAAGCAGCTGCATTCAAGCCTTACATCACCAAGCGCAATGCAAAGCATTGAATGCAGTGGTGTAAAGCGCCGCCACTGGACTCTAGAGCAGTGGAGACGTGTTCTCCATCTGGCAATCTGATGGATTACTATGGGTTTGGCAGTTGCCAGGAGAACGGTACTTTTCTGACTGCATTGTGCCAAGTGTAAAGTTTGGTGGAGGGGGGATTATAGTGTGGGGTTGTTTTTCAGGAGGTGGGCTCGGCCCCTTAGTTCCAGTGAAAGGACTTTGTGGGAACAGTTTTGGGATGGCCCCTTCCTGTTCCAACATGACTGTGCACCAGTGCACAAAGCAAGGTCCATAAAGACATGGATGAGTTTGGTGTGGAAGAACTTGACTGGCCTGCACAGAGTCCTGACCTCAACCCGATAGAACACCTTTGGGATGAATTAGAGTGGAGACCGTGAGCAAGTCTTCTCGTCCAACATGTGGCTGACCTAACAAATGCACTTCTGGAAGAATGGTCAAAAATTCCCATAAACACACTCCTAAACCTTGTGGAAAGCCTTCCCAGAAGAGTTGAAGCTGTTATAGCTGCAAAGGGTGGGCCGACATCATATTAAACCCTATGGATTAAGAATGGGATCTCACTCAATTTCATATGCGTGTGAAGGCAGACGAGCCAATACTTATGGCAATATAGTGTGTGTCTGGTTCCAGGTAGTCATTTCAGGTTAACAACAGAGTAAAACACATTGTAACTTAAAATCTGCAAACCAAGCCTGCTGCGATGAATCCCATAATTTCTATAAAAGGATGGACGTTTCCAGAAAATATTATAATTGTCGATAAAAAACAATTTATTTACTAAACAAGCTTCCTGAAGTCAACTGTGAAGGTTTAACAAGCAGCTAAAATGACCCATGCCTCTTCTGAGAGAGGGGATTGGGCCAGAGATAAAAAGCTTTTTCCATAGTTTTTGAGTGAGTCACATAACTGAATAAAGTCCTTCTTCCAGTGTTCAGTTTTTTTCATCTTTTATGTTCCTACATGAATAATCACATTGTGAAAGTTTGAGTGAGAAGACTAGGGAACTGCTGTGTAATGTCATTTACCTTGGCACCTGTGAAGGAGTAAGTTACTGACATATCTGACGATAGAGTCTCCAACAATCACTGTGGCTGGTGGGCAGTTTGGACCAGCATGAATGCTGTGCGACAGCATTTAGTGGCTGACTCCAGTGAGAATGCCGCATGTTGGCCTCCAATGGCGGAGTCTGGCAAGACAGCTGCGTTGATGACGTCTCCTGGGAACTGCTGTAGAGTCCTCAAGCTCTTTCAAGGTGGAGAATCTGTTGTTCAGTTGATATTTCGAGGCAGAGGGTGCTGAGCCAGGTGCCTTTTGCGCAAATTCCCATAGGCCACACTCCATGGCCACATTTGGTAAGCCGTGGAGCAGCTTACCCCCTTGGATCCCGCATCCAGCTGAGGCCAGCGGTCTTCCAGCTGTGATGAGGTACTCCACCCCGGTTACTAAGGTCAGAGCCTGAGCTGTTACTAGCATAGAATCCAGCAAGTTCTCATTTTCCTTGATTTTGTGCAGAGGCGTAATTCTGCCGTCCAATTCCACTATCGTCTGGGATAAACGGGCACAGCTTTCACAACTGTGCGGAGAGGTAAGCATGGTTTAAGACCACCAGCATTAAAAGTACGACAAAAAACAGTTTGGTCTTAGATAAGCTCGGCTGCTCACTGTCGCTCACTCTCTGATAAGCTCACTGTCACTCACTCTCTGGCGTGCTCATTGTCATGATATTTAACAGCTAGCAAAATATACTGACTTCATTCACTTCCAAATCCTTTCTGCATATGTTTAACTCTGAGCTACATGTGGTAAATAAAAAATCAAAAGCTAAGGCTACATCAGCAAATGCTAACATTGACATTCATTCAGACATATGATAACAGAACCATAAAAAGAAAACCACCTGGCCAAATCTTCAATGAAGACAGAACAGCACAGGTCTGCACAGCTGAACAACCGATAAATTGCCAGTTTTAAGAAAATAATGTGCATTTTCATGTATTAAGCCAGTAGGTACTGAGTGTATCAAGTCACCAGTTCTTGAAGCTCAGTTTTCACCTGTTTGCCTGCATAAATTTCAACGACAACAACAGACACCATTTAGAAACAACTGCTTTAATTGTCTCACATAAATATACAGAACGGGTGAAATAGCAAATACATGGGTAAATAAACAGGTAATAAATATATAAATAAAACATACAGTCTACAGTTATATACAGTTGGTTATATGTATGCACTCTTTGGCCATTTTATTTACAGCTACCTTGTATTTACACTCATTGTCCATATAAACAGCTTAGCTGACGTTATAGTTTCACTTTGTAGTTCTACAGTTACAGACTGTAGTCCATCTGTTTCTCTGCATACTTTGTTAGCCTGTTCTTCAATAGCCAGGACCCCCCAGGACCCCCACAGAGCAGGTATTATTTGGGTGATGGGTCATTCTCAGCACTGCCGTGACACTGGCGTGGTGGTGGTGTGTTAGTGTGTGTTGTGCTGGTGTGAGTGGATCAGACACAGCACAACACACACTAACTGGGACCACTGACAAAGGACTAGAGGATGACCAACACAAACTGTGCAGCAGCAGATGAGCTATTGTCTCTGACTTTACATCTACAAGGTGGACCAACAAGGTAGGAGTGTCTAATAGAGTGGACAGATAGTGGACACTGTGTTTAAAACTCCAGCAGCACTGCTGTGTCTGATCCACTCGTACCAGCACAACACACACTAACACATCACCACCACGTCAGTGTTACTGCAGTGCTGAGAATGACCCACCACCCAAATAATACCTGCTCTGTGGGGGTCCTGACCTTGGTTGAATTGAGTAAAGGAGTAAACAAAATATGCAGAAAAAGCAGATGGACTACATTCTGTTGTCTGCAGTCACATGATGCTGGGAACACACAAATTCCAGGTGGACAACAGGAAGTGAAAAGCAGAATGTATGCAATGCAGGAAGGACATACTGTGCTAGATTAGATGATATTACAACAGAAAGGCATGAACAGAACATTGCAACATATGTTGGTCATGGGTTATGAAGAGCAGCAGTTTTTCAGCTGAACTGAAAGAATTGCCTGTTACTGAGACAGTAGATATGAGCAGCTGTCCATCCTCCACACACCCTTCTAACTGTAGGACTGTATTGCAAAAATGAAAGTGTCTGAGAAGTGATCATAGCTGGTGGACAGAGAGAGGCCAGCGGAGGACATGTGAAGGGTTTTATAAATAAAATAAAAGAGGAAAAGGAAAGAGAAAGAGATGGAACAAGGAAACTAGAGACATCAAAGTGACATAAAAACATGCTTGTGCTTTGTTCTTCCTCAGGTGGAGGTATGTCAAAAGGTATGTCAAAAACTAAGGCCACCCACCTTCCCAGTGCCTCCCCCGTACACATATAGCGTATATATACATGTTACAGCCATCATCAGTGACCAGAAGGCAGGAAGCTGAAATCAGACCCCACTACTGGTCACCAGCCCTCTGCTCTTCAGACGAAGAGCTGAACGACCCAGAAGTAAGTACTTCTTAAATACACACTGGCTTTTCGACATTTATTCACGGCTGAATTAACGTTGAATTTGGTTTTGGTTTTAATCCAGGACCAGTTTTGGGCCAATTAAGTACCTCAAGCCGATATTTATTAGATCACCCACATCTAGGCCAAATACCACACTACTGCGCTTGGTTATATGTAGACATTCGTTGGTCACTTTATTATCTACAGCTACCTTGTATTTACACTCATTGTCTATTTTATCAGCTCCACTGACCATATAGTTTCACTTTGTAGTTCTACAGTTACAGACTGTAGTCCATCTGTTTCTCTGCATACTCTGTTACCCTGTTCTTCTGTGGTCAGGACCCCCACAGAGCAGGTATTATTTGGGTGATGGGTCATTCTCAGCACTGCAGTGACACTGACGTGGTGGTGGTGTGTTAGTATGTATTGCACTGGTGCGAGTGTATCAGACACAGCAGTGCTGCTGGAGTTTGCAAACACCTCAGTGTCGCTGCTGGACTGAGAACGAAAAACATCCAGCCAACAGCGTCCTGTGGGCAGCATCCTGTGACCACTGATGAAGGACTAGAGGATGACCAACACAAACTGTGCAGCAGCAGATGAGCTATCATCTCTGACTTTACATCTACAAGGTGGACCAGCAACAGTGAGTGGACACAGTGTTTAAAAACCCCAGCAGCACTGCTGTGTCTGATCCACTCGCACCAGCGCAACACACAATAACACACCACCACCACGTCAGTGTTACTGCAGTGCTGAGAATGATCCACCACCCAAATGGTTTGGGCCAATCCATTGTTGAATTGAGCAAAGGAGCAAACAAATTATGCAGAGAAACAGATGGACTACAGTCTCTAATATGTTGTCTGCAGTCACATCATGCTGATGATGCACAAATTCCAGGTGGAGAACATGAAATGAAAAGCAGAATGGATGCAATGCAGGAAGGCCATACTGAGCTAGTTTTGATGATATTACGACAGAAAGGCATGAACATTACAATATATGTTGAGTGTGACTCTTATGTTATGAAGAGGAGGAGAAAGACTTTCCTGCTATTGAGGCAGTAGATATAAACAGCTGTCCGTCCTCCAGACACCCTTCTATTCAAGAAAACAAATAAAGTATACCGAAGTATTCAACTTTTTTGTGAGTAGTTTGGTTTTCGTATACTGTCCTTTGAATTAACCTAGAAAACATTCAATGCCACAGCAGCTCTCAACATTAATGTTATTTATGTTATTAATGTTGTTTACATAATGTAGGTTAACCACTCTCAAATGTCATCGCGAAACAGCATGGCAGGTTAAGTTGTTTGTGTTCACCTGTCATTTGTGTAACCGTTAAGGCCCAATCCCATTTCCCCTTGCCCCTACCATTTGGCCCTTAGCCCTCTGTTTTGCGTGTTCACGTCTAGTGTTAGGGTTTCCCAATTGTTGCTGAGATAGAGGGGTAGGGCAAAGCGTTAGGGCTACATGGCCCTCCAAACGGATGGTTTTCAGTGACACACTCCAAACAGAGTGTTATGAAAAAAAAGAAAAACCGGCAAGATGGCTATGTGAGTGACCAGAGAAACCCACAAATGTAAGTATTTTCTCGGTTAAAAAATTACGATAACCATAGTATTATCTTAGTTTAATGTCATTCCAATGTATCATGGGTAGGAATAGGTGTAAAAAGAAGAAATGTGATTGGGACTAACTCTGATTTAAGTATTAGCGGTGTTGCTTATAGCTATTGTTTTAAATCTATCATCTGTGTACATCGACAAATTAACTGTGCCAAACACAATCCTCCGCTCCTTCCGACCGCACGCTGAAGTCAGCTTTTTATTTGCCAGTTTTCCCATTTCACCTTAAATAGTGCAGCAGGTGCCAGAATATAACTGCTGCACCATTTAAGGTGGAACGGGGAATTTCAAACAAGAAGCTGATGGTTCAAAAGCCTGTTTTGCTGGTGTTTTTCAGTCGATTTCTTGCGTTTTCCCCTTATTAACAACAAGTTTTGGTGCTTGATAAAAGCTTCTTGTGGTTTCTTGGTTAGAACGATTTAAGCAACCATAAACAACACAAACCATAGGCATTTTGAGAGCTTGTGACAGTGACTCCTATGCAGAAACTCACTTCCTGCCCTCCACCTGCAGCTCTCGCCTCAAAAATGCAGTGATATGATGTCACTAAGTTAGGTGTGCATGCTTTGCATACTTAAATGGTTCTTTGCATGGTGAAACGTTCTTCAGACTGATGGAGAATATGTTGTAGATGGTTCTATATAGAACCTTTTTGAAAAGGGTTCTTATAGCACCAGAAAGGGCTCTTCTTTTGTTACAAGCTTGACATCGCAGGATAGGCAGAACTCTTTTTGGTGCTATATAGAACCACTGCCTTTACTAAAGAACCCTTCAAGAACTGTTTTTTTAAGAGTGACATGAAAGTGTCCCAAACCCCTTTACTTTTAAAACAAGGAGGAGCCAAATCTGTGGAGCTTCTTCTGGTAGAACAACCGAGGACATCTTCTACCAGAGTAAAATCATTTTTAAGAAAGTAGGGTTAAATAATGTACAATCTTATATACATTACACAACTAAATCAAAGTGACTATGTCCTGAACTTTTAATCATCCATGCATTTCATACTGAGACAATTCCAGGGGAGTTCTCACACGAAGTAAATAACCCTAACTAATCTGTTTTGAGAAGTTTGAAGCCTATGTTTACGTTGACCTAAAGTTAAAATTTCAGTGTTGATGTATTAGAAATTTGTTAACCTTTTCACAACCATTTAACATTAAATGTTTTGACATTTTTTCAACATTGAAACAACAACAACAACAACTGACATTATTTCAACCACATTTCAACACTGAAGGTCGATCATGTGCCAGCTGTTAAACATTTTAGGTGATATGAAAGTATTTAGTGTAGCATTTTATGTAGTCTGTGTGCTAAAATGAAAATTCTTGGTTTGATTTACAAAGTCTTATTGAGCTGATGGTCCACACGTACTGATTGTTCACCCAAGTGACTGCAGTAAAGTTAGTCTTATAATTGAGATTCGACACACATTCGCATTAATAATGTCAATAGTATTAAGAGAGAACATCTATTCCGCTTACGTTTTCCTTCAAGCTCAAGGCTACTTCATTTTCCATTTCAGAACTTCTTAAAACTAGTATACATGTATGCAGCTCACATACCGTAGGCTAACATACAACATAGCTATGATAAACTGTAATGAGTTTGAGTGTCACTAACAAATCATGCTTGTAAAATGCAAACTCCAGCTTTAAGTAGCTGCTCAGTTCAAGGACAAGTACCTTAGCTGGTTATACTGACAATCAAATGATGGATCAATGGTAGTTCAAAGCTGTTTATTGTGTTACCATCATGTACTACCATCATGTACTACAACCAATACGACACTGTTAACCAGCACATTGATGGCAAAGTATCATGTAACATAATTCAGAAATCAACAAATAAATTAGGCTGAATTATGGTTTGCTAACTTCCCATTAGCTGAGGTTTGTTAGAGACAGTTGTTTTTAAGGGAGGCATTCTACCCAATTTTTGGGGAGACTTAATTTGGGCCCGCACTGTTCTGCACTGGTTCACTCCCACTACAGCTCCACCCTAGCATTCCCTCCTGGGGAAAAGTAGTTACTTTCCCTCAGAAAGTTACTGTTTTTTCCTACCGATCTTCCTCCTCTCCTCCGTGACCCACTTTCATGGTCTCAATACCAGAGGAGACGAGAAGCTGCTTTATACACCTGCCAAAATCTGCCGATACAGATTTTCTTTAGCAGATTTTAAAATGACATCACTGCATGCGCACCCAGAAAGGACAGACAATCATGGAGCAATCCAACTATCCTTTAAATCCTGCGTTTTGTATGTGCTTAAATATTCTCTGTGTTGTATATTTTCTACTAAACGTAAAATAAAAAAGACACAAAGTAGAAAACCACACAAATGTGTAGGAGCTCTGTGTAGCTGTCCCATTTCCCCAATTCCTCTTTCTCTTTTCACAAACACACAACAGCAATACATTATACAGAACTACATAGAGTCCAGATACACTATATGGACAAAAGTATTGGGACACCCCTCCTAATTATTGAGTTAAAGTGTTTCAGACACACTCATTGCTAACAGGTGGATAAAATTAAACACATAGCCTTGCAGTGTCGATAGACAAACACTGGCAGTAGAATGGTTAGAACAGCTCAGTGACTTTAAAAAGTGCACTAATCATATAATAATATAAATGTCTGTGGGGGTAATTCATTAATGCCTAGAGTTCATTCATGACTTTGTGTATGAATGAAGTGAGTAACTGATCCTTGTTAGTTTCAGTTTCTCTGACATTGTTTAGTTTCCAGTTGTGGTGAACAGAGTTGGGCAAAATAATTTAAAAAAGTACTGAACTAAATACTAAATACTGTGTTCTAAATGTACTCAGCAATGAATGTATTTCCATTACATTTCTTCTTCTTACGTTTCTTCTGTTAATATCTTTCATGAAAACTTCACTTATTTACATGAAGTTACAAAATTCTCAGCATTCTTTTGGCTGTCATCGCCTGCCTTAGTCCACTGCTACTCCTGAACTAACGATGTCCCATATCCCAATGATAAAATCTTGCAAATGTAAATATAAAGTGGGGAAGCAGTGTTATTTTTAGTTTATGGCATGTATTACGGTTCTATGAAATTCCTCCACAAGTCCAGGGCAACATTAATGCTAAACTTATGACTTGTGAACATGTCCACTACTGAGAAGAGTGTTCAGTTCTATCATCCTTCAAAAAAGCTCAGTAACACTGAGATTAACAACTGATCATTACATTGATCTATCAGTCTGCTCAGGCTTTAGCAGAGCTCAGTCTTTTTTGTCTTTTCAAGCCTTGTGCCAATTTTAAAATAGTTAATAAAGTATTCATGGTGTTTCTTTTAAAGAATGAAATGTTTTAAAAATGTAAACGTATTCTGAATTCTGCCTTTACAAAATGTAACTTGACTGAATGCAGATTCTTAATACATATTTTGAATACTTGAATTCCAGTACATTCCAACCGTAGTAGTGAGTAATAATTTGTAGCTGCTGTGATTAGTGCTTAGCCAACAGCATTTTAGTTATGTGTTGTAGTGCTGTTAAAAACTAAACAGATGTTGTTTCTGTGCTGTATACTGTGATGTGTTAGTAAGCACTAGTTCACTGATAGCTTTACAGCCACAGAGTCTCTCACAGATACCTATGTGCCCAAATACTTCCCCCATAATGCTGCTGCCTTTGATTAAAAGTATAGAATGTTCACTCGTGTCTCTATGAGCTCTGACCATCTGACCTGCTCATCAGCGTATACCACACCTACAAAATAGTGCACTGAAGCTCCCCCAGAATTGTCAATGTATTAGTCATCTTGGTATTTTGTGTTATCTTAAAAGGTTTTCGGGAAGCATAAAAAATTCTTCCCTTATACAACTTATTTATTAATTAATCATTACTATAGTTTAAAGTGAACATTGGCCAAAAAGTATGTTTTGTCATGTTTTTAGTCACAAATTCTGTATATGTAAAGTAAAGGTTTACAACTGTAGTAAACATACCCACCATAAGAATGTGGTGTTGTTTAATGACTAGCATGGCTGACTGACAATCCATTATTATTCAGACTTAAAGCTTCAATCTAAAATGTTAACCAAAGGCTTTACTGTAAATATTGCAAATACTGTAAACATACAAAGTAAAAACAAGTACCTGAACATCAGTTAAAATCATTACGTCTGTGTGTAGGCTGAAGCTGTGCCATGAGCTTGATGCTATTCAATTTATGATTGTTTTTTTTTTTGGCCAAGACTTTAGTGATGTTATGAAAGATGTGACAGTGTGCAATGTGCAATGTGCAATTTTAGTGTAAACAAATAAACAAAATACACAAAGTGGCAGTGCAGTATCAGATATGATAAACAGAATGAACAAAGTGACAGTGTAATGTGACATAAGATACCCAAAATAAACAAAGTAAACAAAGTGGCAGTGCAATATGAGTGGCAAAAAAGACTTCAGTATACAATAATGTCCCAGCACAGTGATTAGGAGTTGTACAGTGCGGCCGCTGTTGGTATGAATGATCTCCTGTACCATTCCTCACTACAGCAGAGCTGAATGAGTCTGTTGCTGAAGGTGCTCTGCTGTCTGACCAGTAGGTCATGGAGGGGGTGTGATGTGTTGTTCAGGTTAACAGTGAGTTTACTGAGTGACCCCCTTTCAACCACCACCTCAAAAACAATCAATTAAGCATCCCAAGACAGAGCCAGCCTTCTTGATCAGTTTGTTGAGCTTCTTTGCATCTCCTCCTCTGATGCTGCCTCCCCAGCAAACTGCTGCAAAGAAGACAGCGCCCCCAACAACAGACTGGTAGAACATCACCAACATCTTGGTGCACACATTAAACAACCTGAGCCTTCTCAGAAAGTAGAGACTGCTCATCCCTTTCCTGTACAAAGCCTCTGTGTCGGCCCTCCAGTCCAGTTTGTTGTCAAGCAGGTCACCTAGATATTTGTAGGTGTCTACCAGCTCAACATTCTGACCCATGAGGGTAACGGGACTGATCGTGGTCCTCTTCCTCCTCCACCATCTCCTTGGTCTTGGTCACTCTGAGGATCAGGTGTTTCTTCGTACACCACTCAACAAAGCTTTCCACTAGGTTCCTATACTCTCCTTCCTGCCCATCCCTAATGCACCCAACCACCACAGAGTCATCAGAAAATTTCTGAAGGTGGCAGTGGTCTGACCTGTATTGGAAATCCATTGTGTACAGGGTGAATAGGAAGTCTTGACTTCAGAAGTCAAAGCAAGTGATTCTCACAATGGTGTTGTTCTGGTCCAAATGGAAATCTGCCTTCTGCAGTAGATAAATAACAGCATCGTCCACGCCAACCTGCTGGTTGAAATACCTGAAGAAAGTTTTTTAAACTGTTGATGCATTTTTTGGCAAAGTGGCGAACCTCGACCTATCGTCGCTCCTAAAATGACAAAATCTTGTAATAAAGGCAATGTCAAGGTCTAGGATATAATAGATGGTGAGCAAACAGTCCGTTCTTGTAGTTGACATGGTGAATGAAGGACAAATGTGCAGGTGTGAAGACCTGAGTGACCTTGACAAGGGCCAAATCATTAGGGCCAGATGACTGGGTTGGAGGATTTCTGAAACAGCAAGGCTTGTGGGGTGCTCAAGGCAGTAGTGAGTAGCAATGACAGCGTGTTGGGTGCCCAAGGATCAACAGTGCGTGACGGCAACAAAGGCGATCCCGACTTGTCCGAACTAACAGAAGGGCTTGTAAAACCTGATATTGTAACAATTTCCTAACAAAGCAATAACACTCAGAAATGTAGTATAATTTTGCACTTAATTTTCTGGAAAATGTAATGCCTTATTACATTATTGGGAATGTATTACATTTTCAAGTTGATCATATGTAACACATTATTGCATTATTGGGACTATGTTATATTTGCAAGTTATATTTTCATATTTACAAGTTTACAAAATCACCTTTTTCCAAATGGATGATGTTATTTTTTTTTTATTATGTTACATTGTGAAATTTAGTGAATGTTCTACATTTTGGGATATATTTACAGTTGAGTTAAGCATACTGTCAACATTGTGCACATCTGCATTCAGACCTCAGACTTATTGCCAGATTCAAGAGCTGCTTAGACAGTTGGATTATGTGGAAGGAGAGATGTGTTACCTGTAATGCAGACTTTAAATTGTTATTTGTCTTGTCCCATCCTGTGAGGAGCTTTATCAGGTCCAGAGCCACTGGCTGACTAATTGGTGTAACCACAAAATTTGTTCCAGAAATTTACGTTTTTAGGTGTTTTATGTCAAAACCAACCTACAGAACTATATAGCCCACAACCTATCCACCCATATTCAGCACCGGCTCATTCAAATGTTTTCAGGCATTCGCATTCATGTTTCATTCCAGGTGTGATGAATACCAGATTCAAAAACAAATTAAACACCAGCTTAAGTCTGAATACAGGTAACCTCCCCAGTGTATCTACTGACATAACCAATTTTTACATCAGAAATATACTTTCTTAAAACATAAGACTTGATGGCTTTGTCCAGACTAGGCTTCCGAATACATCAAATTAATTAGCTTAATTTAAGTTAAAGTGATTTATATTGGTCATAGTAAATGAATTGTTTAGACTGTAATAAGGATGGAGCATTCAGCATTTACACAAACAAACATACCTGCACACATAGTGTAAATCTGACTCCATATCACTATATTTTGGGTTAGTATACCTGAAACATGGTTCATAGCTACATTTTTTCTATTGTATAAATACCATAACAAACACAGCTTTGTGTTTGTGCTCATGTTTGTGGTTGTGTTCATGTTTCACCATCAGCTAACCAGCTATCTTAATTTATATATATATATAATCAGTGAGACAAATATGCCTACGAGCCTTACTATTCATTTACAGCCCGGCTCAGAAGTTACCGTGTATGAGAATCCTGCCCCTTTTCAAAGGACACTGTGTCAGTGATGCTTCTCCAAGCTGGGTTGATTCCTGTCTACACCATAAAACATTTCAGGAGACTGTTGGTATCTACTCTTGAGAGTACTGAATCATCCCTTCAGACAAATAGTTGGCAAACCAAATAGTTGGAAAACATTATGAACATGTATAATTCCCAATAACATAATACTAGATTCTCAATAATGTAATAAGGCAATATGGTATTACATTATCAGTAAAAGTAGCATTACATTAAGTTAAGACTTTGTATTACGTTATTGGGTTTTATTACATTTTGACCAAATTAAGGGAAACAAATCATTACATGTCTGGGGTTATTACATTATTGGGAAATTATTACAGTATTTGGCTTTACAGGGCTACTGTGGCACAAATCACAGGATGTCACGTTTAATGATAGTTATGGGAGGAATGTGTCACAGTGAGTGTCATCATACCCTGCTGCTTATGGGGCTGCATAGCCACAGAACAGTCAGAATGCTGATGCTGACCCCAGTCCACCATCAAAAAAGCCTACAATGGGCATGTGAGTGTCAGAATTAGACCTTAGAGCAATGAAAGGACGTTGCCTGGTCTGATGAGTCCCGTCTTGTTTTACATCATCTGGATGACTGAGTATGTGTGCACTGTCTACCTGGGGAAGGGATGACACCAGGATGCACTGTGGGAAGGAGACAAATTGTCAAATTGACACGTACTGTTAGTAAGTTAGTTAGTTATTAATGCACTTAAAAATGTAAAATGGATGCTACAGTGCGCCAACATAGATTTGGGTCAAACCTCCTTCCACCTTCAGTAATAGATGAGATATAACTGATGACATTTTCTGACAATTGTTAACTCTAGCAGTTCAGTGTGCGTCAGGTTCATCAACGGAGCTTAAGTGATTCTCTGTGTTCTCATGTGAAATCCATTTCCAAATGTTTGATGTGGACCATAATTAATACTTTTGTTGTGGTCTTTTGTTTCAGAATGGGGAATCAGGGAGGAAAAGTAACTGTTGAGAATAAAACTCCATACAAATGGACCGTCTGTCACGATAGTCAAGAGATGACACTTCCTAAGGAATATGTGACGGTAATGCACACAATCACTGCGTTTGAATGTTGAGACAATGTTATTCAGACTGAGATATTCAGAAATACACTGTTTCTCAGACTGAAAAGATTTTTATCAAATCTCAGATACATCAAGTTTATTATATTTAATTCTTAATTCTTAAAAACTTTTAGATATTCAACTCCAAATCACAGGTTTTTATTTCATTGTTTTTAATCAACAAACACAACCTTTAGAGTTTGTACATTTGTTTATCTTTTGTTTATTGTTCTATTCTTTCACATCTCTATTTTGTATTCAGTATTTTGAGCTGAACTGAATTTCAGATAACACAGATAAAACAGATAATGGTGTAATTTCACTGCTCCATGAAAACACACTTTTAACATGGGTGCTATGAGGAGCAACAGTCAATAATTAAGTCCATCCAACAAAAAAAAAAAACATTTTTTGTTTTCCGTTCTATTTTGTACAACCTTCTATGTTAAAAGCCCAGCTACGCTTTATTTACATTTTTGTGGCCCCTTAATTTTAAATACAGAGCATCAAATAAAGATGTTTATATGGTTTTTACAAAAAAAAGTCACATACACTGTTTTTTTGTTGCAAGGGCTTAATTATGTAAACCATAATTAACATTAATCAATGTAATCCATCAATTTCTCTGTTGTTTTAGCATTGTATTGGTCCCTATGGAAGATCATCTATGGAGTATACTATTCTTCTTAACTGGTTAATAACCTTCTACGTTCATGTGAAGTATGGACACTGTTCAGAGACAGAGTGCTATAGAAAACCAGATCTGTGGTACAAATTAAATCCAAGAGGTGACCCTCACTTCATTATTCGAGAGTGTGGAGACCAAATTTACCTGGACTGCAACATAAATTACGAGGAGAAGAAATCAACATGCCCAAATTACGGTATGTGACCTGTTTTTATTAGCTCTGTGTTTAGTAGTTGTATTCTTTATTAAGAGCATGGCTTGTCGATGTAATACTTATTTTCAGACAGTTCAGACATTTGTGCACAACAAGTGAACCTTAGCAGTAAAACATAGGTGGTTGTACTAATAGGTGGCTAATTTGGTTGGGCACTAGTAAATTTTTTTTCTGTTCTTGTTCAGTTATTTCCCACATTAGATGTGTGGTGTTGCCCAGTAGGGAGCACAGCATTCCAACTCTGCCACACTGGGGTGGTCTCTGCACTAGGCAAAGGCAGGGGCAAACTTTGGGCTCCTCTGAGCCAAGAGCCCCATGAAAATGCAAATTAGATATACATACTGTGGGGTGCTTGCGGTTGAGAGAGAGACCACAGAACATGCAGACACGAAAGGTGAGTTAAAAAAAACACTGGCTATCAGCCAGCTTTATTCCAGGAGAGAGGAGCAATGATAGTATTCAAACAAAAGGAAAGAAAGGAAAAAAACAAGCAAAAAGTGAGCTCAGTCAGTCCATTTTGATGCCATCTGCTCCTGAGCACTAAGTAATTTCAAGTGTGACGACTGTCAAGGGTGAGGGGCCCAATGAACGTGCCCGTCCTGTCTGACGCCGGCTTCAGTCTTCTATAGAGATGGAGAGAGAGAAAGGGAGAAAACGACAGAACGAGAGGCAAAAAGGCCGGGAAAAGGAAAAAACCAAGCTCTCGGCTGATCCCGAGTCTCCAGTGTCACTCACTCGACTGATCTGTCAGTAGATCTTTTATTTTGGTGGCTCTGTGTGGCTGAGGGGTTGCAGCTGAGGTGATCAGCAGGAGCCAGGCGTGCGGGATTCCAGGCCCTGCCCTCACGGCCACGCGTTCGCCTACTATCCACAACAATAGGTAAGTATGACAGCTCTCAGTACCTTGGCAAGCTGCCTTTGGCCGTGATGGAGGCTGACACAGTCTTCACCTGGATTGATGGCTCGAGAAAAGAGAAATGATCCGTGATTAAAGCAAAGGGCCTACCGGTCAAGTAATACAATGGCCCACTTAATGGCCAGGCCTTCGCGTTCCACAGTGGCATAGCGTTGTTGTACAAAACCGGATGCTCCTCACCGTCGAAGTCCTGGGTCAGTACCGCTTCAAGACCCCATTCTGACGCATCAGTCTGGACCGTGAAGGGTCAGTCAAAATCCGGATTACACAAAATAGGTTCAGTGATCAGGTGGCATTTTAGTTGGATGAAGACTGTTTCAGCCTCCGTGGTCCACTTCACTGAGTCGGGCTGGCCCTTCTTAATAAGATCTGAAAAAGGGGCCACTACAGAGGAGAAGCCGGTAATACCCCGCCACCCCCAAGAATGCACGTACCTCTGTTTTGGTCCTGGTTCGGGGGCAGTTGAGAATCGCTGCCACTTTTATTTGTGACACTGTAGTAAACCCCTACCTATTCTATACCCCAAGTAGTGTGCTTCTGAGAGTCTGAGATGACACTTCTTGGGGTTGGCTACGAGTCCCGCCTCACGGAGTCCACAGAGTACCCTCCAAAGGTGTAACAGGTGTTCAGCCCAGGACTCTGAGTGAATAATGACATTGTCCAAGTAGGCCGCTGCAAGTTTGGTGGGGTCATAGGACCACATCCATGAGATGTTGGAAGGTGGCCTGGGCTCCATGAAGGCCAAATGGAAGAACTCTGTAATGCCTGTGCCCCGTGGGGATGGGGAAAGCAGTTTTTGGGCAGGCCTGAGAAGTTAAGGACACCTGCCAGCAGCTCTTGGTGAGGTCCAGAGTGGAGATGAAACATGCCTTACCTAACCGATTAATCAGGTCATCCACGCGGAGCAGAGGGTAGGAGTCAGATTGTGAAACTTCAATCAGTTTCCAGAAATCGGTGCAGAATTTCCAGGTCCCGTCAGGCTTGACAATTGGGCTGGACCACAGGCTGTCAGAGGGTTCGATGATACCGGCGTGCAGCATTCTTTTAACCTCCTCTTCAATGGCAATGCAGCAGGCTTCGGGTCCCCGGTAGGGCTGCTGCCTTATCACAACCCCAGGGGGTGTCCGGATGTTGTGTTGGATGTTGTGTTGGAAATCCGCTGCCGGGCTTGTTGGGCCTCCTCTAGGTGTTCCCATACGATAGGTGAGGCAGCGTCTATCCGTTGTTGCATCTCCTGCACATACTCAATAACAAAGCTCCACGTCAAGGAGCTCCCGAGGCCTCCGAGCATATAATAGCTCAAAGGGAGAAAACCCTGTGGAGGCCTGGGGCAACTCATGAACGGCAAAGAGTACATAAGGGCTCAGCAAGTCCCAGTCACGTCCATCTTGACTTATCGCTTTTTTTAACATGCTTTTGAGAGTCTGATTAAACCTTTCCACAAGGCCATCGGTCTGAGGGTGACTGTCGACTATGACCAAGATTTACTCGTGTCCCTGAAATGATTTTGGCAGTGGCACCCTCCACCACCCACGAAGATTAGGCTTAGATGATGTATGTGCACTTATTACTTCCTGGAAAGCTCTCTACTAAAGTTCAAACTGTATATAATTAAATTTTTGAAACAGGAGATCTTTACTGAGTGTTAATTAGATGTATGCCATCATGACACAGAGTAAATAATGGTTTATGATGCCTGCAGGTCCATTATCTGCAAAATCATACAAATGGCAGATTTAATATCAGTGTTTTTTTGTAACACATATGCTAAGAATGGTTAAATAGTTCTTGAAGCAAGTGAAATAATTCATGTAAGGAGGTCCATGGACAGGAATTATTTCTGCCAACCACAGTTGAGCTGTTCTGGTTTCATATTCAGTACGATTTCAATTCAATGTGTTAACACTTTGGCACTTGATAAGGTGCCTGAATAGAAGTAGTCTGATTAAAAAAAAATAGATGAATACTTGCTGCACTAATGAAGGCTGAAAGCTGTGAAACTGAACCTGTATTTTGTGTTTATCTGGTGGTTTGGTGGTTGTTTAGTGAGTGAAGGAATTTATTCTTGTGATAGTAAGTTGAAGTGTTTGTTGGAGAAGTTTGCTTTGTTTTGTGGTGATCAGTCTATTTTGTAAAGAAAGCATTATTTTGGCCAGCAGGTTAGTATTGTGTGTTAACTGTTTTGAGAATATGACTTATGAATGGACAAAAATGTTCAGGCAATTGAGAAAAACTAGCAGGCAACTTCACCCAATCACCCCCTAAATATAACTGACTCAATTATTTGAGTCCATTTTGTCTATGGGACATCATGTAATTTATAGAATCAAAGGGACATAGTTTGATATATAGAATCACCTAATTATGTAACAGTCTCACCAAAAGTATTGCAGAGAGGGCAGAAATAAGCCTTAATATAAACACTCCGGAGCTGATGTGCCAAGCCTTCTGCACCGGTTTCAGGTGCAAATAGGATGCATACTGTCCGCTTTTAAATGTCAATAAACTGTTATTATATTATAACAATATTATACTTATTTTCTCAGGCAAACTTGAAGATGATGCCCGACAGAGAGAGGCGGAGCGAAGACGGGAGAAAGAGAAAGAGGAACAGCGACGGCAGGCACAGCTTGAGCTGGAAAGAAGAATTGAAGAACAGATCAAAAGAGAAAGTGAAATATCTGCTAAGAAGCTTTCTCAGGCCAATGAGAGACTGAAGCAGAAAGAAATCCTAAGAGGCCAGCAGTTCCACCAGCAAACCCATATAATACAACAGCCACTGGAAGTCTATACAGTAGACAGAGATGAGGTACCCGTGGTAACGTTTTTTAGCTTACAGGCAAATGCAATTACAAAAGTTATTATAGGTTAGCAATGTTCAGTAAAAGGTGCAATAAAATGAGGGCAATAAAAATGATCTTTGTACAACTGTTTGATTAGCTTGCATGAAAGTTAGTATATTTCAAAATAGTGAATAGTTTCTCAGTTTCACAGCATGTTGTAAACTTAAACTTTTTGGATTTAGATTTTAGAAAATATTAAGAACATATAGTTTCTTATTCAGGTGTTGATCATTGCAGTTTCTATTTTTTTCAAGCAGTTTGGCAAGCAGCTTTGTCCCAACACCCACCCTGTGCAACAGTACTATCATTTAAATTGCATGTAATGACGTAACTCACATGTAATTACAGCTGCACAAATGTATTTAGGTACATTTACAATATATGTTGTACTGTGTAAAAGTCTAAGCAGCCATTAAATTGTGTAAACCTTATCTCATCAGTAAGTATCATGTTGCCTGTGAGAACAATACAACATTAGAACAAATACAAATAAACATAAATGCAGTTATAAATAACGAGAGTGCTGGATTTAGCGAAGTTATTAGTATGTATTTCAGATGGACACAATATATATTTCAGATGGATACAGGAGCTTCTGCAGCACCAGATTAATTTTAATGAACAACTGATTAGATAAACTAGGTATTGAATGGTAACTGTACAGGGCTTTTTTAATGAAAGCTTTTAAGATAATTTAAGACAACACACACAACCATCACAATGAATTTCTTATTTGTTTATTCTAATTGCTTAGTGTTTATTCTAAAATACACTAGCTTTATGTATACTTTTTCCAGATGGACTAAGACTTTTGCACAGTACTCTGTTTCCTTATTTATATTTCATCAGTTGATGTTCCTTGATTTTTTTCTTTCCTACAGGTTGCAGAAATGGAGAAGGATTTCATTGACCTGATGTTCAGTTATGAAATTACTGAAATCGAAGACTCAGAAGAGCCATTAGCTGACAGAATGAAACGCCTACAAAATGAAATAATGGTTGACTACTGTAAGAAACACAACCTGTCCAGCAGCTGCATGTTTTCGTTTGATGCTGCAGTTGATTATGATACTCTGCCTCTTAGTGACAGACTGTCAGTCCTTGAAGCAGTACTGCAAGTAGTTTTTGAAGAGACTGAGGATGACCATGAACATCAATATGACCGGGACTTTTTACTCAGTGTGCTTGAACAGCTGAATGACACTCATCCATCACTTGCAGGGAAACTTTTGCAGAACATTCTTTATACAGATGTGCAGCTTACCATGCAGAGTAAAGAAATTCTGTGTCAGATCTTGTTCAACAACATGTGGACACCAGGAGAAATAACTGATTTTATGTGGAACATCACTGGCAAAGACACTGAGCAAGTGTTCTCATTACTCCACATGGCACAGACCTACAAAGTAGAGTACTGCAACGTATTTAATGCTCTGTGTACATCTGATCCCCTCAGAATGTTACAAAACCATGTTTACAATGAGAGACACAAAGACGCTAAAACCATTTTAAGAGAAATGCATGATGAAAACCTCCCTGAGAATGTGTTAACTATCCTGGAGGATGTCCTGTTATATCTGGAAAAGGAGCTTCCAAAAAATGCAACAGCTGATCTCAGTGAAAGTGAAGTTGAAGATTTGAAGAAGAAAGTTAAATCAATGGATTTCAATGATCCAGACAGAGATGTCCTCAAACAAGTGCTGGTTAAGATGTCAGTTGCAGTAAAAAAGTGCTCCACTCTCATCTTTCAAAAGGGTGAAAAGAAAACAGTTATTGAAGGATATGTTCCAAGATTAACTCAGCTTGCAACACTGGTCATTTTCCTTCTTTCAAAATCAAAAACAAATACAGGATGTCTTCTTGAAATCGGGACAGGGGAAGGAAAATCTTGTATTTTAGCCATGCTTGCTGCAATTCATGCCATTCGTGGTGTAAAGGTGGATCTTGTGACAAGCTCTCCAGTCCTTGCCTGCCGTGATTTAGAAGAATGGAAAGAACTGTACAAAATGTTTGGCATCACATCATCTGTCGTTCCTCCACCTTTAAATGATTCCCCACCTGAAAAACATGATGAACTGATTCAAGATGCATATAAGCAACAAGTCGTTTACAGTACTGTAGGAACATTTGCAGCAGATACACTGAGACAAGAGTTTGAGAAGAAAACGACTCGAGGAGAAAGGAGTTTTGAGATGGTCATTGTGGATGAAGTTGATTATATGACCTTGGATAATGGAGTTCAGATTACATTTCTCTCTCATGAGTCCAGAGGTCTACAGCATTTGGAGCAAGTCCTTGCAAGCATTTGGGCTGTGACTTCAGCATGCCGACCAATTCAAATGGAAGAAACTGGAGAGATCATGTGGGCAACAAGAGTCCAGAATTTTCATACGGCTGCACTGCTCGCAATGATAGGTTCTGACACATCTGGCACATTTTCACCACTGGACATTTTGTTGCCAGGCACTGAATTGGGCTTTTACTCAGAGGAAGACTTTGAAATGTTAAAAGTGTCTGTTAATGCAGGTGAAGGGAAAGAGGAAAAGGCAACCTTGCATGATGACGCATGGAAGTCTCTCATGGCAAAAACTGGAGTGGAACAGCAATATGACCTGCTTAGTGTCCTTGAGATGGGAATGGAAAACAAGGTGGCGTTTAACTGTTATGTCTATCAGTCAGAAACTAGGAAAGCTGCTCGCTTTGGAGATCAAAAAACTGAAACTGACCAAAACATCAACATGCTGCTACTCGAGAATGGAAAGGCTTGTGAGATCATGTCTGAAAAAGTTCTTGTTGAAGCCACTGTTGCAGAGCTGACATCCAAAATTAAATATTCTAAACAATGTCATTCAAATGCAGACACAGAAGAAAACACTTTTGTGATCCCTCCTTTCATGGAGGAATACTTGCAAAAGCAACTGCCAGTGTTTGTTGAGAATGCCCTGAAGGCCATTCAAATGACAAAAGGCAGAGAGTACATGATTGAGAAGTCACTCAGAGCTCAAGGAGTGGATATTAGTGAAGAAGACCAACACATGTATCACACAGTAATTCCAGTGGACTTTCAGGCCAGTGGGATGTTGGAGAAAAGCAAACGCTGGGGTGATGGACTGCAACAGTTTTTGGAGATGAAACATCAGTTAGCTTTATCACCTTTATCAAACGTGACTAACTACATGTCGAATCGGAGTTTCTTCAAGAGATATCTCAGTGGGAAAGGAATATTTGGTGTTTCTGGAACATTGGGAGGAGATGCAGACAAGTGTTTCCTGACAAGGCACTACAAAACAGACTGCTATGTTATACCAGCTCATCAGCGTAAGAAAGTTACTGAGCTGCCTGCAGTGCAAGTGAGGGGAGGCACTGATAAATGGATTCAGAGGCTTTGTGACACAGTTTCAAAGGTCTCTGACAGGGGTCAGGTTGTGTTGGTCGTATGTGAAGATGTCAACACAGCAAACACCCTTAATGAAAAAATAACAGCAGGCACCAAGCATCCAGTTACCATGTACACAAACAGTGAAAGCCACAGCATTGAGAATCAGGAGTTCACTGAGGGACAGATCATTATTACCACTAACCTTGGAGGACGTGGGACTGACATTAAGGTTACAAAGGAAGTCAATCAACGTGGAGGTCTTTTCGTGATACTTGCCTACTTTCCCAACAACCGACGAGTGGAGCAACAGGTCTTTGGGCGCACAGGTCGAAAAGGCACACCAGGCATGGTCCAACTAATACTGAACCATGAGCACCTCGCTCAGGCTTATCAGGGCCATTCCATTGAAATCATGCGGGAACTCAGAGAAGAGTTTGAAAGTAAACGTATTAAGGACATGGAGAAAGAGAAACTGGTTGAAATTGAGATGAAGGAAGAGCTTTTCTCCACATTTTGTGAGTTCCTTAGTGACTTTGATCAGCATTACAGCACAGAGGAAAAGACAGATCTCTTTGAAGTGAAAGTAAAAGACGTTCCTCGTTACTTTGAGTCCTGTTGCACTAAGATGGACTATCACCCAGCTCTGAATGCTTTGAAAGAATCATGGGGTTTATGGCTGATTCTTCACACAGATCAGATCAACACACAGAATGACATCAAGAAACTGAAAGAAGACCTCATCCAGCATTTGCAGAACACAAGTAACAAACTTTTACAAGGTAACAGTGAAAATTTCTACGATCACATCCAGCAGGCTTTGGGACGAACTGCCTTGCACTTTCAGAACAAAACCAAATGTGACTATGGAGCAAAGTTCTACTGGGAAAAAGCATCTGGCTTTGAAAACTACTACCGAGCTATTGCACTGTATAACCAAGCTTACGTTACTATTAACATGGCTAAGGAGAACTACAAAAACGAGGCACGTGTCTTACTCGAGGAGACAGAGAAAGCTATTGATGTTTATGTGTCAGAAACCGCAAATACTCTGAGTTTAGTTTCCATGTCTGTTACTAGTGATTTTGAACCACACCACAGTGATAGCCGTAACTTCCAAACACAAATGCAGGCTAGGATGAATATATTTCAGTCTTGGAAGAGAAATATCACAAAAATACTCGAAGTCCTTGCATCGAGTGAAGATGTTACAACTGTGGACTCCGCACTCTACAGCTTATCATCTTGTGAGGATTTCGTCTCTAGTAGTGAATTCAGCCTCTTCCATAATTATGGTCTTGCAGTTGTGTTTGAGGTGAAAAAAAAGCCTCGGTTCTCCTTTGATGCTCTGATCTGCTGCTTTATTGGTGTGGCTCAGGTGGTAGCAGGAGTGCTAATATGTGCCTTGTCAGCTGGTTCCCTGTCCTCTTTTGGCCTTGGCTTGATATCTGAAGGTGTGTCTGACATGATAAGTGGAGTCACAGGTATGATAAATGGAACTTTTGACTGGGCATCATGGGCAATATCTAAAGCCATCAGCATAGGAGTTTCTCTGGTTTGTGGTGGACTCGGTGTTATCAAAAAAGCAGTCACTTCTGTGACAAATGCTGCCAAGAATATCTTCCACGGCACCAAAACCCTAAGAAGTGTTGCATGTAGTGCCATCAGATCAGGAAAACGACTTTTTGTGTCTGCTTGTACATCAGTAAAAAAAGCAGCAACATCAGTAAGTACGCAGACCTTCAGTACCCTGTGTACATCAAATATGGTCAAATTAAATTTAAAAAATGCAAGTAAGTATGCTATCCAAGAAATAGCTATTCAAGGAGTAAACACAGCAGTGAACAAAGGCATTGATGCTACACTTCAAGAAAGTTTCAAACTAGCATTCCAACAGACTTTCAAGGATTCTGTCTGTTCAGCTCTGAAAGAGAATAAAGACTTTGTCAATGCAGTCACAGAGTTTATTAGTTTAGCAATTCCAAAGGCTGTCCTGGATAGAGAATGTGGCAACTACAAGATTGACAAAAACTTGGAGAACGATATTAAAGATCATGTTAATTTGAAAACGAATTCTACCGTGAGCAACCTATTGATAAACTGTAAAGCAGTACATCTGACCATTAATGCACTCTCCCAGGTCTGGGACAAATCAGCAGAGTTTGTTGCACAGCAACCTCACATCTGTATCAAGGCACTTTTTACTACAGCAAAAATCTCTACCACCATTTATGAAATGTTTTCAGCCATTCCTACAAGAAAGACCATTGACAGCAAGTTTGTTCCAGCATTTGTACAGTCCTTGGCTGAGGAACCATTATTTGGATCACGTGAAAGAGATGGAAGGGAGAAGCTGAAGGATGTCAAACGACTTACAGATGAACTCATTAACTCCATTTCAAAAGGTGTATCACAAGCCATGATTGACCATTTTTCTGGTTCTGCCTCATCAATTTTGACAACAACATTCACTCAAAAGCTAAACGCCGCCACTGGAAAAGCAGTTGGCAATTTGTTCGCGAGGCACAAAACTCAAAGTTTCTTTGACAATCAGCAGCATCGTTATGATCTGAAATCAGCTAAAGAGCGCAAAGATGAGTCTTTGTCCGAGAGAAAAAAAAATGAAATTGAGTCCTATGCCAATAAAATAACCAATGAACAACATCCAGCTACAGCTTTGGAGCTCCATGTCCTCACAAAGGGAAACTTACTGGAAGGAAAAGGAATTTGTGTAGCTGTGGTAGATTCTAAAGGGAAGCTTCTCTCAGAGGAGACTTATCCAGGAAGTGACCCA